TACAAAACCTAAGCACAGATTTTCCACTATAACTTACAAGAGTATTTTGTTGTTGTTAACTCTAGAAGGTGCAATTAGGGATTACAGGTATTTATTTAAAAAGGACAAGAATTACACACATTAATTTTCATTGATCATTCCGCAACTGGTGAAACAAAGCTTTCCAATTGAGTAATATAGTATGAACATTATATTTATATTAACTATGTTCATTACTATGGGGGAGGGAGTATTTTCAGTTCTGGTCCATGTATACGTAGCTTGCTTTGATCAGAATTTAATATTAACTGTAAGTCTTGTTGTTTGAAGTTAAGCATAAAGCTACACAATGGACTATACGTGCTCTGCCCACCACGGGTATCGAAACCCGGTTTCTAGCGTTGTAAGACCGCAAACATAAGGCTGTGGCCCTGGGGGGGGGCAATTATAAGTCATATTTGAAGTAATGCCCTTTCTTATTAGTCTGCATTTGTGAGTAATAAGAGACTCGGCACTGAAATCAATAACAAATCAGTAACTACTTTGAACAACGGTCGTACTATTCCTAACGTTCAATGTAGTTTTTGTTTATTTTTCGTTATTATCATTTCCTCAATCTAGCTTATTCACAGACGTTGGCAAGCCCTGTATCCTAGAGTGCGTGTTAATCAGAAATGCGTTTTATCGATAAATGCGAATAGTTCACTGGATGCCCTGAGCTCGGTACAACTGCTCTTGACGTTTTATCATTTCTAAAGTGAACAACATGTTTTGGAGATTTATACACCCGAGAACTTTCTACAAAATAATTCTTCAGGCAATAGCAACTGCCAGCTACACGTGTAGCTTAACCATAAAAACAAAATAAGGAATAAAAGAATGTTCGGGACTGTGCATTGATCCAATATTTTGAAAGGAAAACTTGAGTTATTTGTAGAATGCTAACATTGTGTTATATTCTTCCGCGACCCTAAAACTAGACTTAAGATAACCGCACAAATATTATACCTTAACCTTATATTGTTTTTAATGTACCAAACATTATTATAACGTACAAAATGCCTATATCTTTATCATGAAGTATAGTAAGTTTCAATCAACTTTTACTACACGTATATTAAACTATTCTAAACTATTTTTCTTTTTAAGGGGCAAATCTCAGCGAACTAGTCTCACAAGGATGTAATTTTTTTTTCATACGCTGCACGACAACCACAAATGATTACAGATTTTGAATATGAAAAATCAACAAGTCACTTGACATCCACAGACGATGTAAACTCGCGATGGAACTGAATGTATCATAACTATATTTAATATTGTTTGGCTTTACGTAGGTAGGGTGGTGTCTCTGAAAATAGATCGTTTTAGAGAAGGATATATAATAACATTGTCAGATGCAATGTATTCATACACTCAGATCACAAAGATCTGTTCGGATCAGTTATTTTGAATTTCCAAGGCGAAAATATACCCTGTACTTAATGACATTGAAAATAAAGGAATGTGTTTGAACTTGGGGTACCCGGATCATCCACAACCAGACATGAAACAAGCCATATCACAGCAATGGTAAGCAAAGGTCGGTATTTTGTAACAGGTGAAAATCCACGAAAACAGTAAAAAAAGTCGTTCGTGTGTCCAGACATCAGTACAAACCACAAGAAGAATCTCTATCTGGAAAAACGACACAAGTCACGTGTGCAAAGAATACTTCCAATACTTTCAATCAACTAGAGAATGAAACGGGTATTCATTCTTCTACACACGAAGACGTACCGATCACGTTGTCCATCGACTGCTGTGCGATCGGGCTGTTGAAACGAGCATGGGGAGGCCGTCGTTTTCGTACACTGGATTGATTGTTGAAAGAAAGAAGAGAAGAGTGGTGAGCTTTAATCATAGCAGCATTGCGACGTAGCCTTTAGCAATATAAACTATGCTGCAGGACTACTGTCAAGATGCACAGTCGCCAGATACGGTATGACTGGATGTGGCCAAACGGACTGTAACGAACTGGTGAGGCTCCAAAATCGTTTTAATCTACTAAATCTCTGCAGAAAAAAAAGCCTTAGAAATGTTATAGACATATAATGATTGTTTCATATGCTTCCGAAACATCTAGAGTAACAAGAAGGCACATAACTAAGATAAATATGGTCTACTTCTAAAGAGAAGTGTTATTTTCTACATTACTTAAAATATTTTGTTTGTTTGTTTTGAATTTCGCGCAAAGCTATACGAGGGCTATCTGCGCTAGCCGTCCCTAATTTAGCAGTGTAAGACTAGAGGGAAGGCAGCTAGTCATCACCACCCACCGACAACTCTAGGGCTACTCTTTTACCAACGAATAGTGGGATTGACCTTCCCATTATAACGCCCCCACGGCTGAAAGGGCGAGCATGTTTGGGGAGACGGGGATTCGAACCCGCAACCCTCAGATTGCGAGTCGAGTGCCCTAACCACCTGGCCATGCCGGGCCTTGCTTAAAAGTTTGTTTGTGAAAAGTTATACAATGAGCAAGAATATGTCGTCGAATTTTAGCTTTTTATAAATTCAGTCCTCAATCTTACTCCCTGAGTCATCGCTCCTTAGAAGGTGCCCCCTACAGTGGCACAGCGGTATGTCTGCGGACTTACAACGCTAGAATCCGGGTTTCGATACCCGTGGTGGGCAGAGCACAGATAACCCATTGTGTAGATTTGTGCTTAATTACAAACAAACAATACTTAGAAGGAATAAAAGAGCACTCTCCTTATGCATATAGTTAAAATGAAAATGTTTTCCATGTCATTAACTACACGTACTTAATGTAGTGTGAATGATGCATAATCTCCGTACTTGTATCACGTATTTGTATTAAATGACGTTCTACCAGCCTTAAAAGAAGTCGTTAAGACCCTTAGATGCAAGTGTTTCATTGATTACTTTGCTTGAGATGAAGTTATATCAATAAAATGTCTCTGTCTAATTCAGTTAAAAGTGTTTTTATAATTCTCTATTTTCAACAAAATATTTCTTTGGTTCATTTTTACTCTCGGTTATTTTGTGTAGCTATGATTGTGTGTGATGCTGTCGAAAATTTGTTTGTTTAGAGATAAACACAAAACTACATAAAAGGCTATCTGTGCTGTGCCCACCACGGGTATCGAAATCCGGTTTTTAATATTATAAGCCTTCAGACTTACCGCTGCGCCACTGAAGGGTAGGTGGGTGAAAGGCGAAAAATTGAGCAAATATAATAAACAGTTATTAATGTTTGAAATTCACAGCATAATTTTTGAGATGGTACTGAGAAAACTTGTCATTATAGGCTGATGATTCAAAATATATATATAACGACTGATATCAGTTTTACGTTTAGCTTAATGGCCTTGTTCATTTTGTAATAAGCAGTTAATCTTAAGAAATAGATGTAAAATAATATGTATATGTGTTTGTTACAGACAAGTAACAGAAACATGCTCAAACAGTTACGATTTATTGGGTTTTTTAAACACTGTCACTGAATAAATAGAAAATATATAAACGTGTAATTTAATCATTTAGTCTTTAAGAAGAATATTATAACAAATTCACAGTTATAGCTGTTAAAAATATAAGTAATTTTCTTGATTTTGTCTTTCCAAATTATTCTATATTGAACTTTTATGTACTTATGTTCGTTTTTATAAAAACACAAAGCTGTGTTGAAATCAAACATTTTACGTACCCAACCTTTCTGAAAAAAAGGCTTAGAGATGTTATATACCATTCCTTTCACTTTTTCTTGTAGAATATATTTCATGAAGATCTTACAACAGGGAGGTAAGTAGATTATCCTGTAGTTCAAATTTTACAATGTGGAAAATTTCAAAACTATGTCTCTTATGCAGTGTTTCCTTTGTAAGGTTGGCACATCACAGCTGACCCGTTATATAGCTTTGTGCTTAACAACAAACAAACAAATCCTTTGAAACATTCATTCGAACAAAAACTTAAGGAATTTTTCTTTAGTATCTGAGCTCTTTCTAACAAAATCTTTCATCTAATTGAGAACAAAATCCTTGCATGTAAACATTGGGGTATTAAAACTACTCCTTGCATGTAAACATTGGGGTATTAAAACTACTCCTTGCATGTAAACATTGGAGTATTAAAACTACTCCTTGCATGTAAACATTGGGGTATTAAAACTACTCCTTGCATGTAAACATTGGAGTATTAAAACTACTCCTTGCATGTAAACATTGGAGTATTAAAACTACTCCTTGCATGTAAACATTGGAGTATTAAAACTACTCCTTGCATGTAAACATTGGGGTATTAAAACTACTTCGATATTTGTGTAGTTAGCTGACATGAAAACGTGAGAGTATTCGAAATATCAAAAGGTGAGGGCGCTAAAACTGGTGAAATACGTTTCTTGTTTATTTCTAGCGTTTTGTCTCTTACGAACGTATTGATTTATTACGTTTCAATGAAACAGTAATTCAGAATTTTCGAGGTTAAATATGTAGAACTATTAAATTGTATATTTTATGTTTATGGGCCTTTTGTATTATTTAATATAAATTTATATACATTTTTAAGCAGGGATGACCTAGTGATTAGTGTGCTTGGACTGCGATTCCGAGAGTTCATGGTTCATGGTTCGTTACCGCCAAAACGCGTTCCGTCCTTAGGAACCGTAGATACGCTATAAGAGTGATGGTTAAATCTTTCTATTCGGTGAATCGAGAGTAGGGTCCCCCGGTGAGACAGCGGTAAGTCTACGGATTTACAACAATAAAATCAGAGGTTCGATTCCCTTCGGTGGACACAGCAGATAGCCCAATGTGGCTTTGCTATAAAAAAAAAAGCAAAACAAAACAAACAAAGTCGAGAGCAGGCGATGGCTACAGATGACTAGCTGCCTTCTCTCCAGTCTGTCAGTTCATAATTAGGGACGACTATGCGCAGATGGCCCCTTGTGTAGCTTTGCGCTAGAATTCAGAAGCAAACAAGTATTTTGTTTCTATTTAACCTTATAAAAGAGCCTCACATTTCTTCGTCTCACATTTTACCGATTGCCCAGACCGTCACTTCACGTGTGACGTAATACCTACCGTCTACACACTGTTGAAAATCGATTTGATCGAGCAACACAGTTGTTAGTAGGATGGCCGTTGATTTTACAGCAACGTACAAAATGTTGGTGCTGGGAGACAGTAATGTAGGAAAAACGTGCATTGTTAATCGCTTTTGTGACGAGAAATTTTACGACACTTATATTTCGACGATTGGTATGTATATATAAAGATATTATTTTCAGATAATATAGAACGTGTTTCGTTAGTTCAGAAGTCTCTACCGATTTATTTATTATCATTCTAATCAGAAGTTTATTCTACTGCTTTGTTTGTGTGTAACAATTAAATTACCCACGATTCAGTAACAGTAGTGTTTGACTGTTTTAAATGTCTGTTTTTTCGAGAAAGAATATTGTCATGGATTATGTTGCTTGGAATGAATCCTAGGAATATACCGTATTTTTCGGTGTATAAGACGCACTTTTGACCCCAAAATTTGATGCCAAAATCTGCTTGCGTCCTATACACCGAAGGTATGAATAATATATATGTATATATACGATATACACAAGCCATGTGTAAATATATTTAAATAGGCATGCATAGTTTAGTTCAATTGAATGTGTTATTTATAATAATAGTAGTTTTTTTTTATTTTAATAACATAACAATAATGACATCTTGTCGCGAGCAATTACTGAAAACCCCTTCTTGTCACGAGCATGTCACGCAAAGACCACTGACTTCGCTGGATTTGAATTTTGAAAAATATGGCTGAGATGTTAAAAAAAGAATGTTTTATGTATAACCACTATCAGTTCTGGAACACTATGGATTGATTTGCTGATATCCTCTTCTGTAAAAATCCACCTCAAATATAAACCAGCTTTCTGATATTACGTTGGTGATTTATTGAGAATAAACTGTTATCTATTAACAAGTGAATATTTACTAACTAAGTCTTTTTTACTTTCAAAATAAAAATTTTTAAATACTAGAATTAATGCATTTTTCAGTCTACACTTAAAAACCGATTTCCTTCAGTTATGTCCATGCACGTCCAGTGTTTGTTGGATTTTATTAGTTTAAATCATTGAGTAGTAAGAAGTGCGCTTTCATGATATTATTTTCTAAATATCGACCATTTATTCTGATTCCGTTCAAAATATTCTCTCATCTCGAGAAAGTGGAGACTGATTTTTCGAATTGAATAGTCGCATAAAATGAAACTTGTAAGTGAAAACTAACGACAACAATTTTGGTTACTAACGCTGACTCGAACTCTGTACGAACGTTTGATGTCGTGTTCACAAAATCGGAACAGACGAACCCTAATGGTTATCGTTTCGTGTTGCGGATCGAAGGGGCTGGGATTCGAAACCACTAAATACGCTCTTGCACTTTCACCTGTTGCTACGTCATAAAAGTGAGAGTCAATCAAGTTATTCGGTTCAAAGAGCTGGACAAAGTCCTTCTGATGGCGGGTGCTGCTAAGTGACTGACCTCTCTCTGGTCAGTAGGTCAAAATTATGGACAGTTTCACCTAAATCCTTGGGTACACTATTCTGACATTTAGCTCGCGTGATCATAAGGTGTCGTTCAGGTTAAAAATCTCAGTTCTGTTCTAAATAGTGTTCTGAAATGGTTTTTCAACGTTAACTCACGTGATCATAAGGTGTCGTTCAGGTTAAAAATCCAGTTATGTTCTAAATAGTGTTCTGAAATAGTTTTACATCGTTAGCTCACGTGATCATAAGGTGTCGTTCAGGCTAAAAATCCCAGTTCTGTTCTAAATAGTGTTCTGACATGGTTTTACAACGTTAGCTCACGGGATCATAAGGTGTCGTTCAGGCTAAAAATCCCAGTTCTGTTCTAAATAGTGTTCTGAAATGGTTTTTCAACGTTAACTCACGGGATCATAAGGTGTCGTTCAGGTTAAAAATCCAGTTATGTTCTAAATAGTGTTCTGAAATGGTTTTACAACGTTAGGTCACGGGATCATAAGGTGTCGTTCTGGTTGGAAATCCCAGTTCTGTTCTAAATAGTGTTCTGAAATGGTTTTACAACGTTAGGTCACGTGATCCTAAGGTGTCGTTCAGGTTAAAAATCCCAGTTCTGTTCTAAATAGTGTTCTGAAATGGTTTTACAACGTTAGGTCACGTGATCATAAGGTGTCGTTCAGGTTAAAAATTCCAGTTCTGTTCGAATAGTGATCTGAAATGGTTTTACAAGGTTAGCTCGCGTGATCATAAGGTGTCGTTCAGGTTAAAAATCCCAGTTCTGAAATTAATTTACAACGGCTTGTGCTGTTTGTTAGGTGATGTACATTATGTTTTCTCGATAATTAGGGTTATATCAAGGTTACACTTATATGCGTATAAAGAATATCTGAGTGTATCTAATGGCACTTTTTATTCGAGCCTTGTAAATTACCTACTGCTTATGTTTTAAATATCATATCATTTGTTATTAGTGTTATTCGAAATCTGTGTTTACAAGCTCTAGAAATAATGAATACATTAACTTAGTTTTGGTTTTGGTTTACACGCTTACAGTCTTCTCTTTGTCATTTCTAGATACTCTTTATTTGTAACTGAAAATCTAGTAAAGTAATAATAACGATGAGTTGTAACTGGAGAGATATTTCAAAAGGCTACATCGAGACTAATTTAAAACCGCTACTGACATTAAAGAAAATAAAGAAAATTTTACTGGAAATCTTACTTAATTGTTATTAGTTCGCTGTCAGCGTGTTTGTTTTTATAGCAAAGCCACATTGGGTTATCTGTTGAGTCCAACGCGGGGTATCGAACCTGGATTTTTAGTGTAAACTACCCGCTGTCCCACCGGGGGACGTTCGCCGTCAGTCTCCAATACCCAAAGGAACTTGCAGTACGTTATTCTGAAAAAAAAAAACAACAACCTGTAATTGAATTTTCACCTAGTGTGTCTTGGTTTCATTTTTAAGACGTTCCTGCTCCTGTTTGCATCACAGAAAAATTGAAAATGGATAAAATATAATATATAAAATATCACTATTGATAATAGTTATTCGTTTGTTTGTTTGTTATGAATTTCGCGCAAAGCTACACGAGAACTATCTGCACTAGCCGTCCCTAATTTAGCAGTGTATGACTAGAGGGAAGGCAGCTAGTTATCACCACCCATTGCCAACTCTGGGGCTACTCTTTTACCAACGAATAATGGGATTGACCGTCACATTATAACGCCCCCACGGCTGAAAGAGCGAGCATGTTTGGTGTGACAGGGATTCGAACCCGCGACCCTCAGATTGGGAGTCGAGCGCCCCCTAACCACCTGGCCATGTCGGGCCAGATGATAGTTAAAAACAAGAATAATGACAGAGAAAGACTAGAACGTTTATTGTTATATTGACTATGATTCGTGGCGCCGGTCGTGACCTAGTAGTTAAGTGCCTAAGCTGTGACGATTATATTCTGTCAGAAGAGTAGCCCAACTTTGGAAATTGGTGTTGTTGGCTAACTACCTTCTATATATAGTCCAAAGTTTAAAATCAAAAATACATCCCTTGCGCAGCTTTGTGTGAAAAGTCTAAAACAAACATATTATAATTTGAAAATATCAATGACTGTTACAATTAACAATTAAATGGTATGCGAGAATGATAAATAATCAGACAAAAACGAAAGTTGTGACGGTGTGTGTGTTTTTAGCCGTGGCTAGTAGAATGGCTCTGAGTTGTTTTTTTTCAAGTACAAACTTTTAGCTTCGTCATCTCTTGACCGATTTGAGATCTAATTGAAGTTTTGGACCTCAGGAGGTAAAACCCTTTCTAATGATGTATTTGACCACGCCCAAGGTCTTACAGATTAATTTACTCTAATCCTGCCTAAAAGAATTTCAATTTGAGGATAGGCTGATAGAGATACTGATGAGTAATAAAATCGAATCGGGTATACGCGCGTCCCCTGCTTGGTATTCCTGGCGCACAAAAATATAGCTAATAAAAAAGGAAAACAAAGGTCTCGTACATTAATTTACTCTAATCCTGCCTAAAAGAAGTTCAAGTGCCGCAGCTATTGAGGATTCCCTCTTGTTTTAAGAATGCATATATATAATTGAATTAACCACGATGTATACGTTGCCATTAAATATCTCAAGTCATAAAAAAATAATTACTCTATAGTGATATAACCTATAGACAAATTCACGCGAAAATCCATTGTAAAGCGTACTTCAATTTCTGTAAAATCTCAAGTTAATAAATTATATCTAAACAGCTTAATGTGCTTTAAATTTATAACCATTTTGTTTCTTTAAACAACTTCTAACTACTATAACAAACAAGAAAATAACAACGGGTTATTTACACTGTGCCCATCTCAGGGCTTTAGCTCCGAATTTTAGCGTTATAGGCCCTCAAGCTTACCGTTGAACCACCGGAGGCTACATGTTACACAAAAAGATATATGTGCACAAATTTTTTTTGAGATATTGTAAACGAAGATAATTTTTCTCTGTTAAAACGTTTTTACCACCCTAGAAGGGAGTACTGCAACAAAAACTGCTTCCTACTAACTTTTGTATTACTATTACGTAACTTGGCTATTGTTGTTTAAAGTAGACGAGGCTTTGAGCCTAAGTGTATAGTAACGTTTATTTAGTTAATAGTCACGTGCTTATATGAATGTAGTTATTTACAACTATACAGACAGATTTCAATATAATTTCGTGTTTTCAATGTGAATGACACATGCGACACATAGGCCAAACGGTCAGGCCAGAAAACCCCAGAGCTCAGGCATAGCCATCTGTAATTTAGAATCGCTAACCAGAAGAAGTACAACCAATCAGAATCACTAACTATTTGTAGTACAACCAATCAGAAGCACTAACTGTTTGTAGTACAACCAATCAGAATCACTAACTGGTTGTAGTACAACCAATCAGAAGCATTAGCTGATTGATTTTTATGTGTAGTCATTTTAAAGGATATTTCACGTTTCTACGTCATATTTTCTTCAGAAAATCTACGTTTTCGTAAAAAAAAAAGAAATTCACGAATAATCGCTAATCATTATTATTCAGCTTATTCTGTTAATTAAATACCTAAAACTGTAATAACTGGAGTGACTAACTCTGTGCTTCGTTTAGAAACTTCAATAAAACTAATTTGTTCACATGTGTTTTTGTATGTTTTATAATTGGCCACAATAATGACAGAACAGGGTTATTTCTGTACGAAGATGTTTATATTAACAATTCAGTGTTTACAATATTATGCAGTATTATGAAAATACTCTAAATAATGTTGAAATATGTTAAGATGGGAGACCAGAAAAAGTGCATAGCTATTTATTTGAAATATTGCCTATTATACTGTATACATGACACTTATTAATTCTTGTTGTATGTACAGATGCTTAGGGCAAGAAGGTCGGTCATAAAATATATCTTTGAAACAAAGTTTACTATGTAAATTTTAGTGTTAATATGAGCATTTGCAAAGGTGCTAAAATACAGTTGTTTCGTATTACAGGAATTGATTTCAAACAAAAAATTATCAACTTAGATGGCATGCCAGTAAAGCTTCAAATCTGGTAAGTAGTTTTAGAAAACGTTATCTAACTATGTATTCTACTTCCATAAATAGTTTATATACATCCTCGTCAATCTTGACCTCAGATGGTATTTTGACAAACACAAAAATAAGCAAAACCTCTGTCATACCACGAGGCAAATATATTTAGGCCTTTCCAGTACTACTGATAAATATGTTTCGGCCTCTCCAGCACTACTGACAAATATATTTAGGCCTCTTCAGCACGGTTGACAAATATAATCAGGCCTCTTTAGCACTGCTGACAAATATATTTAGGCTTATTAGGCACTACTGAAAAATATATTTAGGCCTCTCCAGCACTACTGACAAATATATTTAGGCCTATCTAGCACTACTGACAAATATATTTAGGCCTCTCCAGCACTACTGACAAATATATTCAGGCCTATCTAGCACTACTGACAAACATATTTAGGCCTCTTCAGCACTGCTGACAAATATATTTAAGCCTCTTCAGCACTGCTGACAAATATATTTAGGCCTATCTAGCACTACTGACAAATATATTTATATCAATATTGATTAATGTACCATTACACTGTATTTACCTTCTGTCCATTAACACTCAGATCACAATGTGGCTAAAAATATGTGGTCGAGATAAAAATTAATGATATCAAATTTGTTTAACATTTTTAGCCAATAATTATATAAAACAATGAAAAAATTACTTAGTATAATAACCACATTCTAACATTAAATAGTTTTATACCTACAAACTAATACAAGGATATTATATAATTAGTTGGACTGTTCTAAGTCTCCCAATTCAGATGTAGACATTCGCATGCTGTAACATTTCGTACAGAAAACAATCAGGTAATAGGAAAAACATTAACTGTAAAAGAAGTGACTACTAGGTGGCGCTACGTATATATATATATATATATATATTTTTTGCCTACGTACATGCAAATTGGCAGTATAAAAGCAATAGAAACAAGCTTTTCTCATTCATTCTTTTTGAGATGATTCCAAACAGGATATATCTGCATGCTAGAATTGCACTTGGAAAATATTATTACACCACCGATTGAAACACCACTGCAGCATTGAAACCGTATCAAGGTGAAAAAAGTGCCTGTAAAGGCCCTGCAGCTTAATGGTTTGTTTGTTTTGAACTTCACGCAAAGCTAACACAGAGTTATCAGCGCCAGCCAGCCCTAATTTTGAAGTGACAGACTAGATAGAAGGCAGTTAGTCAACACCGCCCACCGTCAATTCTTGAACTACTCTTCACCAATGAATAGTGGGATTAACCGTTCCAATTATGATACGAGTATATTCGAGTGCAAGATTCGAACCTGAGACCCTCAGATTGTAAGTCGAGTGCCCTAATCACCAGGCCATGCCAGGCTTGCAGCTTATCAGGTCGTTACAGATGCATATCAGGGTTATCTCTCTCCAACACCAATTGAATTTGTCGCGGAAACTAAGAAAACTGCGCTTGATATTGCAGAAACAAAAGCACATGAAGAATTCAACACCAATCACATTGACAAAGAAAGTAGATCAATTATAGTTTACCGAACCAACTTTTTACCCCATAATCTGATCAATGTCAGTGCGAAAGTTCACAGCCTTAGAATAGGTCAACTAATTTTATTTAACTCTGGATACATATACATACATAAACATTAACTGTATATCATAGAAGAGACAGGGGGTATATCCCCCTCAGTCTTTCGTTATTACTCGCTACATTTTGTCATGATATGAAAGACTGTTTTGTTTAGATGTTATTGATTAAGTTATTTTTGTGAGTGAACAGTTTATTATTGTTTAGCTTTTGTTATAATAAGAGTTAAAAGCAGACGATTGTAGGAAGTTGTGTTTATAATTCATTGATGCTGAGATTATCGAACGTCGCGTGCAATACATTGACGTCGAGAATATAGAGATTTCTAGCAGGTGGACAGACGATTAAGTGATAAACCTATAAATAGTGTGAGACGAGCGAAAACAGTCGACAGACAACAGCAGAAGAGAGTAAAGTTACGGCAAGGAAAAGTTGGGCGTGAAGTTAACTACCGTAGAAGTGATATGTAAGAGTAAGATTAGCAGTAGAAAAGAAAAAAAATAAGAAGAATTATTCCATCAAAGCGTGGTTCTAAAGTAATTGAATCAGCCTGAGTGCACTTTGACAAAAGAAACAGAGGATATTTTGAAAAAAGAAGACCAAACGATTACGGTAACTCGCGCCACAATTGTAAGTGAATCACACACAGAATACTAGTGCGATAGTAATAGAGGAGATAGTTTAACTTGTCAACTGAAATTCTAAAGTAATTGAATAGGCCTAAGTGGATATTTGAGAAAAAGAAGAGAACTATATATATATATATATAGTTA